AAAGCCCGAGTCTGGCTCGTCGACAAGAATAACACATTTATCAGCGAGGACTCCTTGAATGGATTTGGTATTTGCAACGTCGTTATAAGTAAGCGCGATAAATCCTGAACGTTCTGGTTCCTCTGGATTAAGGTAGAGCGGCCGCCCTGCTTGAAGACCGTGAAATACTGCCTCAAGCCATTGGTCGATTCTCAATGCTACGGTTTCCTGAAAGTTAATTATAAGTTCACGGTAATAGATAGGGCATTGAAGAGCATACCTTAACGGAGTAGAAATACTGCACCTTTTCGCCTTTCACGGTGTAAACTGGGATATTGCAGTGTGAGCCGCAAGGGGTATTTCTCGCATCGGCTTGCGAGGGCCGGGTCGCAGTAATGGGTGGTAAGGAAGGCAAGGCGGGTTGGAGAAGAATTTGTTGAACTCGAGCGGGTGGCGCGAATTCGTCGTGGTTCCAGGGCTCAGCCCGTTCAGTGACCGTTCCAGTATTCGTACTACTTGGGGGTATGCTTGTCGTATCAGCTGGGAGTTGAGAAGTGACCTCGAATTCGGATGTTGTTGAGCTTGTGTCTCGCAAGCTAGTGACGCTCCTAGGGATTGTCCTCTTCATTTTGGCACTCTTCTTCTGTGGTACGTAGCCGTCAGGCACTGTTGGACTTTCAATGATAGGAAGAGCATATGTAGATCGAGAGATATTACGTAGATTGAACCAGCGTCGTTCGACCAATGATTGCCTGCCTATAACATCCATCGGGAGTTGTCCTACGAGCTCCTTGATTCCTCCAACTAACCCTATTTCGCGCGATGCAATGCGAAACAGAACACGCCAAAAACCATTTTCGATTTCACGGATAAGGTCTGTCCTAGCATTCCCCAGTCGTTCGGAATACTGACAGACAAAGATGAACACAACCATATGCCATCCAATGTCACGAGTAACTCACCTCGATCATAATAGCTGGGTTGAACTTTAGCGCACCGGCTAGTTGTGGATCCATGACGGCGAGAAAGATGGGAGATATGAGAGCCGCCAATTGCAATGGGTAGCGAGTTTTTGCTTCCTTATCTTTGTCCTTACTAGTGGAAAGGTCAAGGTCAGACGCGGTAAATAAAAAGAAAAAGAGACATAACATACCCAGTGTCATACCAATCCGGTAGAGAATTTGGTTCATGCGTGAGGAATCCGCATCGAAAAAGGTACGCTAAATGGATGCTAGCTGCATAAAAATTTTGCAATAGTTGCACAGCTCTCAACGGGAATCTCTGAAGATCTGTACGAACGAAGTTTAGGATCCTTGCAAAGTCGTCTTCCTGATCACCTTCTTCCTGAAGGACAGTATGGCCACCAGCGTCAACAATCTGATCAGCTATGTTGGCCAACTCCACCATCAGATCGCACCAGTCGTTCATAAAGGCCGGAATTACGGGCACTTTGTCATTCGCAGCGTACGACACTTTTTCCTTTATTCTTTCCGATGGGCCATGTACATGGATACATGACATATCAAATAACCTGTATAGCGTCAATATAGCAACAAAACGCCATGGTGGGCAGCCTTTTCCGGTGCCACATGATGGCTCTTGCTCCATGTTGAGCCAGATACGAGCTGGCTGCCACACGAGGGCAGTTTTTGCGTATAGCTCCCAGCATTGAGTAGCGGTTGCCAGTCGCTACCAAGATTGGTAAAATTTGGTGCGAAAAATCGGTTTCTTGGGTATTACTCACTTGAAAATGTGGCGACACGTCTAATATGCCTTGTGAATTGGACCACGGTTTACTAAACCACGGAAAATCTTGGAGTCGAATCGAGCATGGAAAAACTACCGACCTCTTGCAGGTACTCAGTAATGCTATGGCGCTAGTATCAACGGAAGTGGAAGAAGTAGAAGTCGTCAGATGGGCAGTTCTCATTTGGGATCAGGTTGACATTTACAAGTTGGAACTGTTGTGTGATTGTTCATTTGTTGACGTGTTCCTATTTGCGCAAGGTGCCTTTGGTAAACATACCCCAAACGACAAACCTTTCTTGACCTTTCCTGCAATACTGTGCGGTTAAACAAGATCTCAATTGACAAAATAGAAAAATATTAAGATGGATAGAGCTTGTTAATTTTATATCCGCAGGTGTGTTCAAAATTTATTTTCGTCACCATGCCCCGCCCTTGTTACATCCTCAGTCCATGCGATTTGAACAAGATGAAGCCTGGAAGGATGCTCAACGTTATGGTGCATACAGTTGTCCATTCATATACTGTCGTCTCACAAGCTTGATTCAGGTTATATGCATTAGGATAGGGGTCTACCATACTCAATATCCACCTAATTACGTCGTAAAATCCATTAAAAGCTCGTGCAATTATACTTGGAAGTACAACAAAGTATGTCGCATTATCTTGCGTCATATTGTTCAAGTTACGGGTCCCCAGCGGTATGACGCTGAGAGGGATTGGGCGAGGCAAGTGTAAAATCAAACATGATGAACGGGTGTGTATGTGAACAGTGATACCGTACCAGCACGATAAAATTAAATTATTAACATAAAATAAAATATTCATCCTTTCACTGGGGCTCGCGTCAATAGCATCGCTTGTAGGCTCGAAAGCATCCCCGAGAGCTCCTTTGGGCGGCGGAAAATACCAATGAACTTCAACTACTCCTTCTCTTCATTTCTCCAAAGCGCGTCCTGTTCACTGGCGGACAGATGTTGTGTTAATGTTTCCAACACTTTACTGTTAAGTTGATAGCAACGTCAGCTTGTAATTAAGATAATAAGACAATATTTCGCACCTTTTATGGTAAAACCCGGTATCCTGCACCTCCTCCGTCCGTCTCCGATGTTGGGTCATCAGAATGGCGCGTCCATCGCCCCACAGCGCACACCTTGGCGGTCAAGTTCCTGATGTATAGCACCCGCGGATTCCAGGTATGGGTGCAGGGAAGGCCTCAATGATCTATAGTGTCAACTTCGACCACCCACAACACCACCACACCACACCCAATGACAAATGCTGCATCGGGCATAGTGCCAGCTTCATCTGCTCTTGAACACTTTTACAGCCGGTATTGAACCTAAAAAGCTCATTAAGGCATGGGTCATCTGGAGTTGTATGGCTTTCTAGTGGCCGTGAAAGGTGGGGGCGAAGGTAGGTGCTTCCACGGGGTGAGCGTGGATACGAGTCCCATGGGCAGCTCGATAGCATCAGGAAAAGGCCGATAGGAAGGGGATAAATGGGAAGCTCGATAAGCAGGTGGGTTCGTTGGAATATGAGGTGAACCCGGTAGGTAAGTGAGGGGAAGATTTCGAGCTCAATAAGACGGTGGAACGTGATCCGATTGCTCCAATGCACCACCGAATACAAAGGGACCAGCCACATAGTGCGTTCCTCCGGTGTCTCTTGGAAAGTTTGTTCCACACCCGGCGCCTTCCTGCACAACACCATCTTCATTACACCTCCGCAAACTGACAACCCTCCTCAACATCTGCATCCACACTACCCTCCTGCCAGATAACACATCCACTTATACCACATGCCATAGCCACGAAACGTCGTCCGACACCTCGCATGACCTCCACAGCGTTCATCGGTGTACCACGACGAAACACACGCCCAAGGGAGACACATATGGTCTGTACATATGTCGAGGAGAGCACTAGACGATTCCTCCTGGCACAGACCCCGTATAGCCGTCGCTCCCTCCGAACGTCCACAGACCCGCTCCATAGGATCAAGGACTCCACTCCTCTGTTGAGCTATATCACAATATATTGCTTGCTGATGGGCTGAACACGAGCGTGAGTCAACGGTAGGGTATGCGGGATGCGTGACTGGTAGACATGGAAGATATGGGCGGGATACAAGTGACCGCGAGCGAGTTAACGATAAGAGCGAAGGATCACTGGATAAACAGCAAACTGGGAGGCGATGACCTGAGGCCTAGGATCGTAACGCACTTCTCTTGGGGTTGTAACATTCGCGTCCTTTGCACTGCAGTCCGAGGGGGATATCTGCCAGTAGGGTTAACATCCTTTTCTACGCCGTCTGTCAGACTTGAGACTGCCAGGATGGGCAGTTGGTCGCTTGCCCCTCTGGACCCATGTGTCGTGGTGGTTGGACACACATCCTGTATGTCTGCAGAGAATAAGTAACCGTCAGCATCGGGACGATTCTCAAGTTAACATTAAAATGAAATTGAAAATCACTCCGAGCTCATGTCATACTCTGAGTATGACATTCATTAGACCAAGAGAAAAAAAAGAGAGAAAGAAGAAAACTTACATCTCAGTGGATAATGGGTGCTGTACGCCACATCGTACCACACACCTCGGGTGCTCGAACTCCACCGAACGCGGAGGAGGGGAGGTTCTGCATGGCTAACTTGCTCGGTTGGTTGTTGTATTGACATTTGGGGAGGGGTGGTGGCATCGAGGGGCAATGGGGTTGTTATCAGACGCGAATCAAGAGCGACGAAAGGGTTTAAAATGAAGTAAAAACGGGATGGAAAAAAGAGAGATGGGTAGCGCAGTAATTAACTGGGTTGAATTGGGTGTCAATTAGATGAGGAGAGAGAGAACGGAGGCGTATTTATACGAATTCAAGGACGACCTCAAGCTCAGTGGCTCGAGAGCGCGTTGTACTTCGTGTGATTGTATTCACCTCAAAGGTCTCCAATTACTTTCGAATTTTTCGTCTTATCTGACAACGAACGAAAGGGTCGTTGTGTATTTCAAAGATCACAACGTGCGATTATTCATCTTTGCGCTTAATTATCAATAAATAATGAATCGCTCAGGGCTATACGTAGCGTGAAAGGAGACCTTGCCAACAAGGATTATATTCGAATCGTTATGAATCTCGAAGCGCCAAGGGACCCTTTGTTCACCCAAAAATGCATCGCACTAATCCACGACAGCAACACCGATAAGATTATCGCAATCTGGTCATTTGATTGTAAGTAAATTAAAAATAAATCAAGAAACAAAATAATTCCAAGAACCAAAAAATGCCACGTACCCGGATTGAACGAGTGACCTTCGCATATCCAGTCTTGCGGATGCAATGCTGTACAAGTGCGACGCGCTACCACTACGCCAACGCGGCTTGGATGAGTGTGATCATGCTGCGATCAACTTCCTTCTCAAGGTGATGTTATCATGCAGGTTCGCTTATGACGCGTGTGTTCGGCATGCATAACATTGCACTTCATTGACGATGAGACGGGCCGCAAGGCCCGCTCATCAGAGGATAAGAAAGGCGCGCGCGATTTGGGAAATCCTTCATCCTAGATAGCTTCGCAATTTATCACGTCTCGTCGGGCCTTCGTTCTTATCGATGGCCCGCGAGTTCTCTTTGGGTTTTTTCACCTCTCTCTCTCAAACCACTGCCATCTCTGCAGTGGGCATTCTATCAGTCTTGCTCCTACCGTCGCGCTCTCTGTGTTTTTGCGACCCTCCCACCTACTCCCTTCTAGTGTTGGCATTGGCTCGAGGGTCTGCTTTTCAGACTCTCGTTGCCCCCAACGCTCAGGTTTTGGCGCTCGGTTCCCAACACGATGGCAGCGCGAAGTTTAGTCTTCTGCCATCGTCGTTCACGTGTCGCGCTTAGCGCTTTCACGTGTGTTGGAACCTCATCCGACTGTGCTTCACAGCAAGTCGTTTCCTCGCGCGATTTGGTCGATTTTGGCCATTTCCCCTCAACACGCCAAAACCTCCGCACCTTAACGAATTCGGATCACACCGAAGGCGTTAAACCTTCTCTTCCTTCTTCCCCTTTCATATTTCTCCCATTTCCTCCAGCACGCGCTCAACTCTTATCTTAACCTTTTCCATTGTCGTCATTCCATTCCCTTCCTCTCTGTTGAGTGTTGACCACCGTTCTTGTTCTCTGTGTTGACTACGACCTCCTTCATCGCTCTTTGCATTCTCTCTGTTAGACTGGGATACATACACCTCTCTGCGTGGACTGGTCAATCATCTACCTCGCCGTGTCGTCTCGTTCTCCTGCTTCTCTCTCTCTGCCGGGTATCCTCTAGCATCATAAGAGTGAAGCATAATAAAGCTACTCTGCCCACGTAGGACGACACAACACAACAATGCTACGCTCAACCCTCTCCCGCAGCCGTTCTCTCTCGCGCCTCACTTCCCACTCTCTCTCCCCACCCTTCACCTCCTCATCTCACCTCCTCCGCTCTTCGTCATCCTTCTTCCTCACCTCCTCACGCACTAAGTATCGCCTCTTCTCCTCCACCCCCGTTTCCCAACAGCCCTCACCCACGCCCCTGACCTCCCAAATATACCGCATCCAGTTCAACTCTCCCCCTCCTCCCCCCAATCCACATGAACGAGGCCGTCTACCGGGACCTTCCAAAAAGCCAAGAGGTCGGAGGAGCAACTTGGTGTTGATTACGTTGATCGCAGGGGGGATTTATTATGTTGCTCAGTGAGTATTTCTCCTGATTATCTTCATGGCTTACTGTGCGTCTGGGACATTGTTCATTTGGGCTGATTATGTGATTGTCATTGATATGATACAGCTTAGAAAAAGTCCCAGAGACGGATAGATGGAGATTCATGAACGTTAGTCCAGAGTACGAAGCAAAGGTACGTCTCCCTTACGCTTCCTCCAACCCACCCTTTCACCTACTCACCCCCAACCCACAGTTCGCATCCACCCTCCGCTCCTCCATGAAATCCGAGCTAGCATCAAAAACGCTACCCCCCAATCACCCCATCTCCCTCCACGTCCAGCGCGTCGTCACGCGCCTCCTCTCCGCCTCATCCCTCGGCTCTCTTTCCACGCCTTCCCCTCCCTCGCCCCATTCCTCCTCATTCGATGGCGACATTATGGGTGGATTAGGGGCGCTATTTGAAACGCAGTCTATAGCGGGGAATAAGAAGGATGTAGCAGGAGGGAAAATGAACAGCGTGTACGGCAAAGAAAAGAAATGGGACGTCATTGTAGTGAATGACCCAAGGGTTGTCAACGCGATGGCGTCGCCCGGGTTGATAGTGGTGTTTACGGGGATACTACCGGTGTGTCAGGATGAGGAGGGGTTGGCGGCTGTTTTGGCGCATGGTGAGTTTCACCTTCTCCCTCCTCTCATCTTACTTTTATCTCTGAATCGCGGAGATAACTAACAAACCTATTTATCCACTTATCAATTTACTTATACTCAGAAATCGGACACGTCGTCGCCCGCCACACAGCCGAACGCCTCTCCTCACAAACTATCGCATTCACCGCACTCATCCTACTCCAATTCGTCGGGCTCAACTTCGGGCTGTCCGATCTCATCCAAAGAATCGTGTTAGAACTGCCAAATTCTAGGAAGCAGGAGTTAGAGGCGGATCTGATTGGGTTGAGGGTGATGAGTCGGGGGTGCTATGATCCCGCTGCGAGCCCACGCATGTTTGAGCGGCTTGCGAAGTTGGAGAATAAGGCAGCGTCGACGTTGAGTTTCTTGGGCACGCATCCGTCGAGTGAGAGTCGAGTCAGGGTATGCGTTCTTTCCTTTCATTGGGTTTCTTGACTGTTAACTTGTGTTATGCGTTGTTCCTAGTATTTGAACTCCCACCTCCCCGAGGCATACTCCGTCTTTGACTCTAACCCCGAATGTGCGAGGATGAGAGGGGAGCTCGAGAGGTTTCGGGAGAGTGCGGGTGCTAACAAGGGGGTTGTGTGGGTGGGGAGAGACGGGGAGGTGAGGTGAGGTCGTAGCTGGGTTGATGAGATGACATGAGAAGTGGCAACGACGTGCATCGTGTGATTAAATTAAGTCTTTTAATTTCTTCGATAAGATGTGATCTACATATGTACATACTCGGATGAATATCCTAATTACCAAGTAGCTAAATCGCCGCTCATGTTCGCGCCTCGGGATTCGTTGTGTGCTTTTCCGAGTCTGAAGATGAAGGATGGTGCTAGCTATAGTGTTGACAAGGGAGCTGTAGTGGAGGGTTCGAATTCCGCTGAGCGCCCAGCGTTTAAATGTTTAATGACTCAGAGGGCGGTTGTGGTGTAGGGTTGACTGATGTATCATTGGGATCGTAGATTTACTTGCTTGTGCTCAGTGGGTCTTTGTATTTAATTTAATTTAATTTAATTTCGAAGATTTATTATAAGCAAAAATTCCCTTTCACTTCCATATACCGAACGAACTAATGAACTAATGAATCAGAAATAAATCCCAGAAGAAAGGGGATTCTATTTCCCCATTCCAGCTCACAATGACCTTTAAAACGATTTTTTTATTTATTTAATCTTTATTATGATGATTATATGTAGATAAATCGCAGCATGAAAGGCCCTGTTGTAGACCAAGATACCTTTGGGAAAATACAAGAAAATCACACACGAACAACGACGGTGATACGTACACCCAAAGCCACTCCTCGTGAAATTCCGAATCTCGAGGGGTATAAATACCCGGACCTCGTCGCTCTCTTTCCTCATCCAATCCACTCCTGTACACTCTAGAGTCAACACTCGATTCACTCACAATTTCTAGCTCTCAATTCACTCACAACATCGACCAAACTCGTTCCCCTCCTACGCTTTCTTACCCCCTTCTGCACGTTCCGAACGCCCCATAATGCTCTTACCCCCTCCTATACCTGCCCCTTCCCCTCAATTATCCCAAGTCAAGTCAGCCATGCAGAACACCCACCTCACACCAAGAACAACATATGATCATGCAGACCTCCAGCCAAAGACGCGACTCGGTAGAGCTCAGCCGCCCTTTGCGGTCCCCAACGACCAGCGATATCTCATTTCGTATGGGGCACGAGTTGTGAGTTCGACCAGGCACTACCCACGTCGAGCTCGTGTCCACAGCCGCTGTTCGAGCGCTTGACGCCTGCATCAGACCTTTCACACCCCACGCACGACACGGAGGTCGAGTCCCGCAAAGAGCCTCCGCCCAGCCACCCGAGCTCCCGTTGCCCACAACGTCTTGGGGTCCAGCTGACGTTCACCCAAAAAAGAAGCTTTTGCGCCACTCGCCGCTGCCCTGGGCTTTCTCTGCCTATTTCCTGCCCTGCCACAACAGACAGCAACCGGGTTTAATCCCGCCATGGGTGACCCGTCAGACAAACCACGAGTCCCAGACTTGGAACGGTACCGAAACGTTCATACCCATTCCCCTGCTCCCACACCAGATCGGCTACACCTCTTTGTCATCTTCTGGTTTCCTTTCCCTCTTCATTATCTTTTGGGTTCGAATTGAAACCTCCCAAACTACATCTCGACAGGAAAGGAAAGTCGAAGAGCGATTTCACAGCCGTGATAATGGTTCATTCGGTCTGTGGGTCCTGAAAGGACGTTCAAAGATTGTCTCTTCAATTTCGCCCAGAACGCGATGGATTCATCTAATCCTCATGCCGCTGTGATGTCTGCGAGCTGAGGGTTGCCTCAATCCTTGTTCAGAGAGTCGGTTCATCGACAAAGGGAGCGAGCACTCATAAGGATTCCCTCGGTTCTCTACAAGGACGCCTTCCCCGAATTCCATCATGATGGGCCGACGTCGCTTTTTAACACTGTTAAGTGACCACTGTACCGCACAACCGCTCCGCCGATCCATCCATCAGCTTCTCTGGTGGCCATTCTACAACACCTCCAGATGACGCCCAACAGCGCTCTGTCTTCTCTCCCCCCCATCTCGATGGATTAGCCTGTCAAGAAGAGAAAGGCAACTCTCATGATCCTCGTTGTTCATTACTGTCATCACGGCACTGGTGTATCATGTAGTACTGCAACGCCCTGATGACTCCTCCACGGGCTGCTACAACATGCCTGGGAGTCACGTCCTTACAGCACCCACCCTGTTCTCCGATACCTCCCCATCTGGGTGGAGCTGTGTATACAGGACAGGGAGGTGGTTGACCCTCGTGGACGGACACGACAACACAATCGATCCTCGCCCGCAGTCTATGCATGTGGAAGGCTCAATCGGCTGTTTGGGTTAGCGCTGATTCATCTATCTTCCTCGTGTCATATTGCGCCTCGCCTGTACGACAACATCCTTTTCCCAACTCCCCCACCACACGCCGTGTTTTTTTTGCTCCTACGCAGGCCATTGGTCAGCGCCTAAATTCCCTCCCGAC